ATTGGTTACATATGTAGGTCAAAGGTCTAACAACAGAACAAGTAACTTCTTTAATAATTTTCATGTCAATAGAATATATATCAGATGATGTTTTATTTTTTAGTTTTCTTATTGTTTCAATTATGTCAATTTCATTAACCCCACAAAGGAACATAGAATTAATATTAACATCAATTAGGTGATCAAACATGTCTTTTTTTGTCATCTGGCACAAGTATTTTGCTGGCAAGTGTAGTGCCAACATTCACAAAATAGTCATTAAAATTGTCAACAATGTTGTTTAAATTATCCACTGCAACATCAGATTTGTTCAAAAAATAACCAGGAAAGTCTGATTTGTAATTTCTATTGTAAATTATATGATTAATTACTTTCCAAGTTCTTTGGATATTATTTTTATTGTCCTCTAATATTTTATTGTAGTATTTCTTTCTTGCATTTCTAATTATAGAAGTCAATTTATTTTTATACTGTTATTTTTACTGGTATTTTTCTTCACTTTCACTAGTTCTCAGTTGTAAATATTTCTTATAAAGTGAATTTTTCTTTTTACATGCTTTTTGTAGACTTTTAGTCAACCATGGCTTTCCATTATATTTATTCTCAGTAACCAAGTACTTCCTGACAGGACAGTGTTTATTATATACTTCTAAAAATCCAAACAAAAACGCATCATATGCCTGGTTTGGATCATCAACATATACCTCATCCCAGTTGTAGTTAGCAAGGTCCAACTTAAATGCCTCAATTCTTTCTGGTGTCCTTATTCTCAAAAATTTAAAAGTAGGATCAATAAGGCTAACTGAGCAATTAACATTATAATTATCTAAATTTACAAAAATAGGAAGGTGATCACTAATATCACTTAAAAGCAAACCACATGTAAACTTTTCATGAACATTTGTAAAAATGTTATCAATAAGTGTAACACTTTCCTAAGTTATACTAGTTGGTTTGTCAATAAGTGGCCAAAGCCCAAAACTAAACATTGTGTTACAAAAGTCATTTGTTAATTTATGTTCATTCCATTTCAACAAATCAATATTAAAGTCTCCACAAACAAAAACATTTTTCTTACCACATATTTTCCCCAAAATATCAGATAAGGTATTTGTAAAATTATCTATGCACGAACCAGGTGTTCTGTATATACAACTCAAGAATATACTCTTAAACTTAGCAGAATGAATTTCAATTGTTAAACTCTCCATGATATCATTGACGATTGTGCAATCAATTATCTTACATTGAAATTTTTTTTGTACGTAAAATGCCACACCACCACCTCTTTTATTTATCTGATTTCCAAAATAAATCGGCACCTTTTTCATTTGTTAACCATGTTTCACTTATAGCAATTACTTGAAATGAATGTTTTAATGACTTTAAACAGTCTTTAATTTGAACAAAATTTTTATAAAGGCTTCTGCTATTTAAATGTATTACTGAAAATCCATGCAAATTAAGATTTCTAAACTGGCTTTCAGAATAATACTTAGAATTTAATTCATGATCATAAAGATTAGCCTCAGAATCAATATCATTTTCAAAACTAATTGCTTGTATTCAGATGGATTTGAAAAACTTAATTTTGACTCCACATATTTTTTCTTACCAAAGTTTCCATCCACTAAAAAATTTTCATTATCAGAAGTTTTGCTCTCTGTTTCATCAAATGGAAAGAGTAAATCACTATCTATCATAAAAATAAAAAATAAAATAATTAAATGCCATTGAAAAAGAAATTAATTCTCTGTCATAGGTTTTAGACACAATCAGTTTCAGTGCCGGTGCCTGTTCTGACTTGACCAAAACCGAGCTAAAGATGCAGTTTCTTTGACCTACATTCGATGCCATCACTCTACATCTGTGCAGTTTATTGCCATGGTGGATGTCTCCTCTGTACACATGGTCACTTGTATTGCTCCAGATCTTGCAAGTCCCGCACCACAAACACCTTGGCTTGTTCTGGTGGCCCATTAAGTTTAATATACACTTTTTCATTTCTTGTCTATGTAGCTTGAATCTTGTTTTGTTTTCTGAGCATTCGACCATTTCTAGCAATTTCTGCATTTTTCTTTGTTAAGTGCTCATTCACATATACTCCAGTGCCTTTAAGGTTTTTTGATTGTTTCAGCACATCAATCTTGTGCTTTCAATTTGTAAACCGAACAACAATAGTAGGTTTAGTCTTGTTATCCCTGCGTGGGAGGACATGACATGCTGCTATTTGTTGTGCTTCCATGTGAATGTTCTTACTGTTGTATCTTGATTAAAATGTTCTAATGAAGGAAAGACAGAAAATATTGCAATATCTTGGGTGCTGTAAAGTGGTTTGAAAAAACATGAAATCAGAATCGTCCAAAATCGGAATTGGCCGTCCAAATACTCTGCAAATCGGAAATTGGTATCGGCCCAAAAAATTGTAATCGGTGCAAGTCTAATAAATAGTGTATTGTTATGTTATTATATGAAGCGTCTGTCGCGCAAAATAATATAACTTTAGTTTATGAAGAGATAAGACGGAGCCCTCTCCTCTCTCACAAGTGTGTGAATTGACCTGGATATGAAGCGTCTGTAGCGCCAAATTTAGTTTAGTTTAGTTTAGTTTATTAAATTTATTTGTAACAGGGGCAGTGCACAAAGTACATTAAGCTTGCTAGGAAAAAAGATGTTTTGTACCAGATTTAGCTTCTAGCTACTTTCCATCTGTAGTCCCTATAATAATATAACAGTAGTTACTACAGAGCTAAGACAAAAAATTAAAAAACAGCAGCAGTGGTCATATTTCAGCAGTGGCAGTGCGCTGCTGCATATAGGGGAACCACTGAATGAGATGGTGGTTTCACTGAACAAATGCCTATTTTCAGCACATTTTATGCTGTTGCATTCAAAGCAATATCATAATTCTCACCAAGTAGAGCTACTGAAGTCATCTGGTGGAAAATAATACATCCTTAAAAAAAATATATAAATCGCAATATATATCACTGGGGGCAAAAAAAAATTGCAATGCCAATTTTTCCCAATATCGTGCAGCCACAACATGCTGAAGCATTTGTTGTCGTGTAATGTAGGTAAGACGTAGGTGAAAACAAATGCTGTACAAATATTCTTTCATTTGTTCCATTTTAGATGATAGCGGTGGACCAATGTCATATTTGTTTACTTACACAAGCACTTATCTCTTGTTTAGAATAGAAACTCAATAAAATTTGTATTGCTGACACCGAAAACCTGTAAGGTCTACTCTTTCTACACAGAAAATTCACAGGAGGAATCGATAAGCAGAATCGATAATGGCATTGATATCAAAAATCCTATCAATTCCCATCCCTAGGCACAAGTCACACCTGTGTAGTAATAGACTTTTTTCACAGTGGACAATCTGACAAGTCATAGTAGGAACAGCACAGGTGTATTTACTAACATGAATGACAGCTACAATCCACTTAGGGGAGGCCCTGGTATTGTGTTGGCACACTAGAATAGCTTACAGGGACACTTAATAAAAGCCATCATTTATGTTATCAATTCAACTTGTGCTTTTCCTGCTATGACATGTCAAAATGCCTGCTGTGAAGAAGGCCCATGATGCTGTTTCATTGACAATTTGACATGTAATGGCCGTCAGGTGCAGGGGTCGCATTAACCGGATATTCTCGGTCATTGACCGTTTTTTTACAACAATGACCGGAAAATCTGAAGGCCATCGGTCATTTGACCAGTTGCAATTACCACCCTTGCCCACTTGGCGGCGGAGTGAACAGTCAGTGGTTTAAGTGGCTGCCGTTTTCACACTGCAGAGAAAAAGTCATTCATCTGCTTCATGTAGCGTTGTTAACATAACGGCCTGGACACACCAGAAGCGTTAGTGCCGCAGAAGTCCTGCGAGTATACTCGCAGGTGCTTGACTGTCCACACAGGAAGCGCATTTCTCCTGCGCTCTCCGCGCCGGTTAAACATCGACTCCACTCATCTGCTCCCGTCAGTACTCGTTTTTTCACTTCAACAGGTCATTTTAAACATGGGTAAGTCCATATTTTAATCGTTTTTTATAATGTAATAAGTTAATGACAATTTGTCATTGCATGTCCATGTTTTGAGCGTGTTGGATTAACACTGAATGAATAGGGCATGTTGTTCTGACCATTTTATTTATGTAGTTATGTCTGTAGGCTTGGTGACACAAAATTAAAATTGTAATGAAGTGATTAGGGTATTGAAAAATGTGTTCGGTTATGCACTGTTGTGTTATTTTAAATTATAAACATGGTATTCACTCACGTTCCTCAGTGCATGCTGTTGTTATTTTATTTTGAAAATTGGCCGGATTCTCTCGTCTTTTCTGTGTCCGACTTCCTGTTTGGTACGATCCGCTCTATCCAGTTTGAGAGAAGCGCTCGCGGCTTGCGTGTAGACCAGACGCCGAACTGAAGCACTGCGGTGTGTGGACGTCTGTTTATCTTTTCGTTCATGTCCTTATTAATGCACACTTGATAACTTGCTTGTTGGATTTATTAAAAACGAACTAATGAAAACTAAATGTCTTTGACTATCTTTATTATCATTTAAAAACGAAAATTAAAATGACCAGTAAAAATAGATTATGACCGGATTTTTACAACCCTGTTGGTTAAAATGACCTGCGACGAAAAAGTCTAGCGCAACTTCTGGTCAGGTGGATAGATTTTCATGGAAAAGGAGAAGCGCTCACTGTCACAGATTTCAACAAACTTTTGACCAACATTTGCATAAACAGGTCAATTCCACATGCAATGCCCTAGTGCTGTAAATACTAACTAAACCAAATTAATCTGCACAGAAATGTCTAAATACATAATCTCTTAATAAAGTGTCACACATTTAGATAGACTGATTGTCCATGACAGAAAGAATTGGCAAACAATTCACACTTTCAAACTGGTTTCACATTGATGAACTGAAAAGTACACACACAAACACAAACACACACAATCCACAGTCAGGTTCAGACTCACCACTGGTCCCTGTCGAAGGCCACTAGCAGGCGGATCCCAGGAGGAACAGTGGCCATGTTCGAATGCAAATTTTGACTATCACAGTGACACGCAGCTGATGGTGGCTCACACTGAGAAGGCTGATGGGGTACACACAGACATGGCAGTGCTGCCTCGGCTCATCTCCATCTTAGAGGAAACTGCTGGGAGATCGGCAACAAGAGGACACATGGCTGACACTGTGTGCCTGAGCTGGATGGAAAAATCAGGAGTCTGAGAAGATGAAAAGAGAGGAATGGGAGTGAAGAAAAGCAGCAGTAAAGAAAGGAAAAAAGAAAAAGAATGTTCAGCAAGGAGAAAGGGTATAATTTAAGAGATAAATAAGGAGAAGGGGAGGTGGAGAATAGAGTTGGGCGGTATCCATGGGGGGCAGAGCATTCAGCCGCTCTGCTCCCCAACTCTGGAATTCACTCCCCCCGACCTCCGAAACATTGATTCACTCCCACACTTTAAATCCAGGCTGAAAACTCACCTGTTCAGGCTTTCCTACTCTCTGAGTGGGTAAGCCTGAACAGATGTTTTGTTTATGTTTGTTTTGTTTGCTTTTTAAACTGATATTTGTTTGTTTGTTTGTTGTTAAATGTTGAATTATCTTGTAGTTAGTATTTTATTGTATTTTAATCTGTATTTTACTCTGTAAGGCAACCTTGAGTGTCATGAAAGGCGCCCAGACATAAAATGTATTATTATTATTATTATTATTATCATTATTATTATTATTATTATTATCATTATCATTATCCTAATTGTGTTACTGTTAAATCTTCCCCACATTTTCCCGGGGTATATGGTATTACCATGACTAATTAAAAATCACTCTGAAGGGCTCACAGGGAGTGGCCAAAATGTCGGCTTGCACCTATACTGTTCAGAAACAGAATTGCAAACATTACATAGGCCTAAGAATACTGAAAATAACACCAAAACATATACAACATTAACAACTTTTATTAATAAATATTTAACCAAACAGAATGAAATACCAATAAATTGTCTGTGGGCTACAGTCCACTTCTAGTACAATAATCGACATAAATCTGTTAAATTAAAACACAGCTCTATAGCATCCAATACTTATAGGCTTATAGGCTTCAAATAATAAAAAAGTAACAATAAAATATAGCCGCGAGCGGCAATCTGCGGGTTCTAAGCTGTTCCGCCCCAAACCAGCCACCGTGACCCTCACCACCCACCGTGACCCTCATCTGCCGTAGTGCAAGACGTTCCCCACTCTGTCCCTGAAAGCTCCAAGCAATACATACTCTTTCCAAGTCACACATTTCTTGAAATCGGGTTTTCAGCTAGCCTACATGCTAATAACATTTGTGGTATACTTTCACATAGAGACTCCATTTGAACATCAAAACATAAATTGAAATTTTACCTATTGATGCGTATTTCAAAGTTTCAATAGGTATTTTAATGTTTACCTTAAGTATACCTCAAAGCCACTTCTCTGTTTTCCCACTATCCTCTTGCTCCACCCTTCTTCACATATTTCAACAAGTCACAGTCTGCCAGCCTCTCCCTGTTCTCTACCAATCCGTCATTAGCTGTCAAATTTCTCTCTCTGCTGTCATCCAGCTGTCATTTCAGCAAAACTCCCAGCCCACCTCCACCCCTGCACCACCTCCATCAAGATACAGACTGTCTTAATCTGGATCTTCAACCCAGAAGTTCCCTCATCCGGTGACCTCAAGATTCCCTACCTTCCCCAGTGTCTAGGCCGGGGGGTGGGGGTAACTTCTTCAGTTGCAAGTTTCTCATCCACAGATCAGTTTACTCAGCTGGTCTCCTCCCCATGGTCTAAGTGGCAAATTATCAAACCATTCTAAATATATTCACGTGACCTCAAAAGTCACATAACTATAGCAACATGTGCACATGCAGGCTTTTTTATTCAAACATGACATAATAGCTTCATTTGCATGAAGTGGTATTATGTGGTAGTGAGGGTCCGTGTACCTTTTGATAGTTTGATATTTTGTTTTCAAAATAAAACGGATTTACGGAAATACGGCCGTTTTCCCGTTATTCCGTTTTGAGACACAAAACGAAATAACGGAAGTGCTTCCGTTTTCCCGTTTTCTCTTTCAAAACCAAATTACGGAAAAACCAAATTGAAACGAGACCCAGATGCATTAGCTAGGTACAAATAGGATAGGCCCAGTACTCTATGTCATTGTTTTCTCTCTGCTCAATTCCTACAACATTGCTTTTTGTGTTTATCTTTCTTAACCCCACCTGAACAACCACTAGTCTATAAAAATGTTATGTAATGTTTTATGTTTCCAAATCAAATGAAATCAAAATGATAGTAGGCCTATTTACCATATTGTTCAACCAGGTGAAGTTCCAAAAACATAGGCTAATCTGTGGCATTTTACTAAATCTAAAATAGGCCTACATGTGCCGCCCTCTTCAAGGGTAAAAAATGTCCTGACATCATGTTTGTTTCACTTATGTTGTAGGATGGGAAGTCATCAAATATTAGCAAAACTCACAGAGTGAGAGAGACCTGCAATGTCTGTTTGTCAGTCTGTCAGACTGTCCTGGCCATAATAGTATTAAACTTAAAATCTGCACCATATCATTAATGATTAACAAGACTGAGTAACTACATTGGAGTTGGAACCCAGGATCAACTGTGTGAACATACAAGGAGTTATACATGTAAGCAGAAAGGAGAGTGGAGAGAAACATGATGTAAAGAGAAAGCTTGGGTAAATGACATGCAGTAATCATTTCGTCCATCGCTGCTTACTTGGGTGACATGCATAAGATTTGTCTACTTCTCATGAGAATTGTGTCATATAACACACGCGGCCTGCGTCTAGGACACAATGCAGCGGATAAGGCACGGCGACTTGTTGTTGACAAACTCCTTGAGGAAACTGACATTCTTTGTCTACAAGAAACTTTTCTTGCTAAACAGGACCTGGACAAGCTTAACTCTGTTCATAGTAACTTCCATGGGGTGGGGGAGTCAACCACAGATTTGAGCTTGGGGTTGGTTCAAGGCAGAATACCTGGAGGTGTGGCCATTATGTGGCATAAAAAATATGACCCTCTGATCAGTGTGATTAGATTGAGAGTAGACTGGTGTGTTGCAATAAAAGTTTCTTATAATGGTAATGTTCTTATCATTTTGAATGTTTACACACCTTATGAATGTTCCAGTAACGAGGACGAATATCTTCAAAAGCTTGCTTTTATTGGCTCTTTTATTGAGGAAAATGAATGTACCCGTATTTATGTAATGGGTGATTTGAATGCAGATATCTCTGATAGGAAGTCTGTGTTTGGCCGATACCTAGTTGAATTTTGTCATGATAATAAGCTCTTGTTAACAAGTAAGATCCATTTGCCAACAGATAGCTATACATATGTCAGTGAGGCTTGGAATACAACATCCTGGCTAGATCATTGTGTAAGCACAGCTGATGCCCATGAATGTGTGGATAAAGTTGAGATTTTGTATGGGTTTGCAACAATGGACCACATGCCTGTCTCCATTATGCTCAATGTAGAAAACCTACCTACAATGACCACGGATGATAATCAGGTTAATCATGGTGGGAAAATTGAGTGGGCTAAACTCTCAGAGAACGACCTGCTACATTATCATGACTTGACTGAGAAGACCATAGGTAACATTGAAATTCCATATGATGCTATAATGTGTGATAATTTCAACTGTGGTATGCCAAATCACAAAGAAGAGCTATGTGTACTATATGACAGAATTGTGCAGGGTCTGAATGAGGCTAGTAAACCACTCATTCAGAGAAAAGCAAAGAAGTACAGCTTCAGGCCAGGCTGGAATGAGTATGTGGATGAACTCCACCAGCAAGCCAGAGAAGCTTTTAAAAATTGGGTTATCGCTGGTAAATCAAGGCATGGACCTGAGAGTGAAATTAAAAAGAAAGCTGTTGCTAGGTTCAAATATGCAATTGGGAAATTGGCTTTAAACAAATCCTGTGGCCTTCATCTGATCTCTGCAGAGCATTTGAAATTTTCATGAATGAAATTTTCATTTTCAAGAATGAATGAATGAGTGAATGAATGAACTAGAAAATTTCACATGAAATTTTGAGTGTGCCTGATGCTCGCTGCCAACTAGTATCCCCATAGCAATACGCTAATTATTAATAGCAGTAAATGTATCACTGTGTGTCTGTGTGTGTGTGCATGCCTGAATGTGTGTATGTTCACGTGCTGTCGCGCGTTTGTGTATGTGTGAGTCTGTTTGTCTGTCTGTGTGTATGTCCACTTACAGATAGAAAAAACAGCTTAACTTAACAGCTAAAAAAGACTGCAGTCTAAAATGTCCAAGATGGACACAGAAAGACAGAGACAGACAGACCCAGACAGGCAGACTGACACATATGTAATTACCTCTGTATGATGAGGCTTTAACTGCAAAGAAGTCAGGTTGCTGAAATATTCAAATTTGACTGTGCTGTGACACACAGACGATTGGCCGAACGGCTGGAGTTGATTCAGCCAATCACCAGTTGGCAATGGCACAGTCAAATTTAAATACACCAAGAAAAGGCAGAAACTGAGCCAAAAGTTCCTCTCAAACTCCAACTGTTTAATGAAAAACCGTAAGTGCTACAGCTACAAAAAGCACACCGTGAGCGAGAGGACAGGATGCGGATCACAAAGGTGTAAATTTCATTTCTGTGGTGTGAAAAATGAGGCCAGAGCCATGATGGACATAAGTGGAATGGTCTGCTTTCTTCCAGAAATTTGGGCTCTCACTTAACATGGGAGTGAATGGGGCAGTTGGTTGGACTTGTTGTCCTTTTAGACCACCTGCAGCCAAAACCCTAAATCCATTTTCTTCAGCGGTCGCACCTCTGCGACCGGAACGGCTTTTCCTACAATTTGGTGTACAATTTGTGTATGTAGAGTGAACGATGTGGCCGCACCAGCGAGTTTAAGAGAAAATTTCTTGATGATTTCAGAGGTGCTGTGCACTCTAGCGATGACATCACCCACTCTAACTCTCAACATTCCACGCAATACACACCCATTATAAATTCTGAGAAGGGCTGAAAATTTCATGATTTTTAAACAGCTGGTGTAGAAAAACTAAAAGAGATATGGAAAATATGAATCAGTCACTGAAAGTCGATGGCAATGTCAACATTTCAGAGTTGGAATGGAGTTTCTACGTGAATGTATGAGTTCGTGAAGTGTGGGTG